AAGTTACAGTGGGCTTTATCGTGATATCAAAAATCATTACTGATTGCTTATTAATATGATGATGTTCTGTAACGGTGCTTTCGGTAATTTATTTAATGATTATTTCAAAACTGTTAAATTAGATAAAATATAAATATTTAGGTGCCTTTATTGAGCTTGCATTTATCAAATATTTTTGTCATATAGATGTGATGCTTGGTTATAATTTGGTGGAATACTTGATTGTTTTTCTGAATTGATTAATATGAGTTTACTTGTATAAGCCTCTTTTTTGTGTTAAGTTATACTCAGTAATGTTCCAATGTGCTGTAAAAGAAAATATTAATCTTTTTGTTTCAAGTTTAAAGTTGTTTACTGATAAAGTGTAACAACAATAAAATACATTTCCCCCTGAAAAATGCCAACTTTTTCTGTGTGTGCAATAATAATCAATAAATAAATGATTAGTGCGTCCACTTTACATTAAGGTTCACGTTTACAGGTTACAAATGTTTGTAACTCATTAATAAATGGTTCACAGGTGTTCACTTTACATTAAGGTTCACTTTCACCGGTTATTGACATTTAACTCATAAATAAATGGTTCACAGGTGTTCACTTTACATTAAGGTTCACTTTCACAGGTTATTAACATTTATAACTCATTAATAAATGGTTCACAGGTCACTTTACATTAATGTTCACTTTCACAGGTTATTAACGTTTATAACTCATTAATAAATGGTTCACAGGTGTTCACTTTACATTAAGGTTCACTTTCACAGGTTATTAACATTTATAACTCATTAATAAATGGTTCACAGGTGTTCACTTTACATTAAGGTTCACTTTCACCGGTTATTGACATTTAACTCATTAATAAATGGTTCACAGGTGTTCACTTTACATTAAGGTTCACTTTCATAGGTTATTAACGTTTATTACTCATTAATAAATGGTTCAAAGCTGTTCACTTTACATTAAGGTTCATAATTCATGAGATATAAATGAGAAAAATATAAATAACACCCTTCAGACTTGCTTTAATAGTCTATTTTTGCTACATCATGAAATAAATCAGGAATCTAGTTTTGAGTGAAATAAGTATTAATAAATATATTTATTAAGCATTTATAACATGTGAGTTAAAAATGGCTCACTATTTGGCAGGTATTGCATTAAAATCACCCTTTTTATTCATGCATTTATAAGTGCTTATCAATGATTTATAATGCATTAGTTATTAGTCATTTATGAACACCTTTATAAACAGTTTATAAAGGGAACCTTAATGTAAAGTGTTACTGTTAGGTTTTAAATATGTCTGTTAGTTTGTCCATTTAAAAAGCTAGAAGTTTTATTTATTAAATTGATAATTTATTCCTACAATTTTTTTAATCCCACTGCTATGGTACATTTCTGCTAAATTAAATAAAAATTATTAATAAATAAATGCAGATTTTTTTTTCTGTTAGTGCAATATCTAAAATGAAGTTAATTAAATATGCATTCATTTATTACTTTAGAGTTTTTGTAAAAACAAACAAACAAAAAACAAGCAGGCTTTCTCTTCCAAAACACACAACCTTGCCAGCTCTGTAGTGGAAGACAAGTGGCTTGTGTGCAGGTGGTCACGTCCACTCAGCTGTCTGAAATAGCTTCGCTGTGCCCTCACAATGCCAAGTCACTTGTACTCTTGAGCTGCATACTGTTGCCTGTTGTTCTGCATGATCTCATTGATGGGTGTTGTTTTGCTTCCAGTCCCCTCCCTTTTTTGTCAATTGAACAGTTTGTTTGTGATGAAGCAGCCTAATTCAGGGGGATCATGTTCTGATTGTCTGTTTAATCCTGATGCATTGGACCCCCAGCATATCTGACATTGCTCAAATTGTTGACCATGGGATTGAAATTCCAGCCCATTTGTTTGGACACACTCAAATGTCCCAACCTGATGAAAACACTTCAACCACACTAGCGATAAAGCAACTCCTAAATGTTGTTAGTAGATTATAATAATAAGCTATTTTGGACTGGCATAAAGATTTCTCATGTTTCTCTTTACAAATTGTATTAATGGTATTATGGTATAATTGTATTAAGATACCGAACGGATGTTAGAAAGAGAACCACAGGGGTATAAATACACGGGGCTACTGTGGAACAGGTTAGGCTAATGAATTAACATGAAACAAATGAGAGTGACTATGGAGACAGGAAGACAGAGCACAGGAACAATACTTCAAAATAAGTCAGTAGACAGGGGAAACATGTAACAGAACTATCCTTTTTAAGTCTGACAGCATTTCTAGATGACATCCTTGGCAGTTGCTTTGAGTCTCGCTGTTTTTTTTCCAGTGTCTTTTATCATACATGTTGTTTTTAAGACAGTGTCAGTATCAACAATGTGTTTTTTTTATTATTAATAAATGGTTCACAGGTGTTCACTTTACATTAAGGTTCACTTTCACCGGTTATTGACATTTAACTCATTAATAAATGGTTCACAGGTGTTCACTTTACATTAAGGTTCACTTTCATAGGTTATTAACGTTTATTACTCATTAATAAATGGTTCAAAGCTGTTCACTTTACATTAAGGTTCATAATTCATGAGATATAAATGAGAAAAATATAAATAACACCCTTCAGACTTGCTTTAATAGTCTATTTTTGCTACATCATGAAATAAATCAGGAATCTAGTTTTGAGTGAAATAAGTATTAATAAATATATTTATTAAGCATTTATAACATGTGAGTTAAAAATGGCTCACTATTTGGCAGGTATTGCATTAAAATCACCCTTTTTATTCATGCATTTATAAGTGCTTATCAATGATTTATAATGCATTAGTTATTAGTCATTTATGAACACCTTTATAAACAGTTTATAAAGGGAACCTTAATGTAAAGTGTTACTGTTAGGTTTTAAATATGTCTGTTAGTTTGTCCATTTAAAAAGCTAGAAGTTTTATTTATTAAATTGATAATTTATTCCTACAATTTTTTTAATCCCACTGCTATGGTACATTTCTGCTAAATTAAATAAAAATTATTAATAAATAAATGCAGATTTTTTTTTCTGTTAGTGCAATATCTAAAATGAAGTTAATTAAATATGCATTCATTTATTACTTTAGAGTTTTTGTAAAAACAAACAAACAAAAAACAAGCAGGCTTTCTCTTCCAAAACACACAACCTTGCCAGCTCTGTAGTGGAAGACAAGTGGCTTGTGTGCAGGTGGTCACGTCCACTCAGCTGTCTGAAATAGCTTCGCTGTGCCCTCACAATGCCAAGTCACTTGTACTCTTGAGCTGCATACTGTTGCCTGTTGTTCTGCATGATCTCATTGATGGGTGTTGTTTTGCTTCCAGTCCCCTCCCTTTTTTGTCAATTGAACAGTTTGTTTGTGATGAAGCAGCCTAATTCAGGGGGATCATGTTCTGATTGTCTGTTTAATCCTGATGCATTGGACCCCCAGCATATCTGACATTGCTCAAATTGTTGACCATGGGATTGAAATTCCAGCCCATTTGTTTGGACACACTCAAATGTCCCAACCTGATGAAAACACTTCAACCACACTAGCGATAAAGCAACTCCTAAATGTTGTTAGTAGATTATAATAATAAGCTATTTTGGACTGGCATGAAGATTTCTCATGTTTCTCTTTACAAATTGTATTAATGGTATTATGGTATAATTGTATTAAGATACCGAACGGATGTTAGAAAGAGAACCACAGGGGTATAAATACACGGGGCTACTGTGGAACAGGTTAGGCTAATGAATTAACATGAAACAAATGAGAGTGACTATGGAGACAGGAAGACAGAGCACAGGAACAATACTTCAAAATAAGTCAGTAGACAGGGGAAACATGTAACAGAACTATCCTTTTTAAGTCTGACAGCATTTCTAGATGACATCCTTGGCAGTTGCTTTGAGTCTCGCTGTTTTTTTTCCAGTGTCTTTTATCATACATGTTGTTTTTAAGACAGTGTCAGTATCAACAATGTGTTTTTTTTTTTTTTTATTGCAGGTGCAAAGTTGGATGATTTTGCTGATTTTACAACATTTGGAATAGCAACATCTCTTATCTTAAGAACACCTGGTCTTTTGGATAACATCCTGTGCATGTTGTATGTGCTGTCTGTTTATACTCGTCTCTGCTTCTTCTCTAGCGGTGAGGAACTTATACCAAACTTGTTTTCAATACACACACA